ACGGTCGATCAAATTACATGTCCAAATTAAACAGTTAGGATCGGAATCTCGATCACACCTCAACACCATTGATGAATCACGGATTGAAATATCAAAAAAGCATAAACCACAACGCGATTTAACGACTTCCCCATCATTGGTGAGTATATAGGTACATCTCGTGGAAGGACCATCCCTCGCAACAAGTGTTTACCATGGAAATTACAATCCGCATCACCCTCGGTTAAACCGTAACCCGAGATCATTCATTCTCAAGAACAAGGAGGAAGAAGAAGATACAATGAATAGCGAAAAAATCCCTCCATGTGTTGCTCTATGTTCATCTCTTAGAATCAATAGCTTACGGTAAACAGGATTGAATTTTTGACAAAAGCACAGCTTTAAATTTGTTTAAAGCTCGTTTTTCACAAGAGTGAAATACTGTTTAGATTAAACATGAACCGAATAATGGTTGGAAAAACGAAATGACTTTTAAGATCCAACCATATAGTACATGACCGGATTTTAGTATTTTAAGATCCAACGATATGATAAGATGACACATGACATAACTGGAAACCTAACCACATTAACTCCTAAGTGGTCTATCTATATTTTCACTCACCCAAAAGCTCTCCAAAAAAAAAACGAAGCCAAAAACTTTAATTTTTCTTTATTTTTTTGTTGGCAATTAAAAATGGCTCTCACAACAAATCTCCTTGCCACCACCAGCAACACCGTCAAATCGGATGGCCTCAACTTAACCACTTCCTGGATCGTCGCTTGTCACAGACGAAACGTAGACTCCAAACTTCTTCTTCTTGTCGTGAGAGGTCGTTGAAAGTTGTGACCCCATTTATGATGCTTGAGACCGAAACAAGTACTGACAGTGACGGAATTGGAATTGTCGGTTTCTTAAAAGGGAAGAGCTATTTCGTTACAGGTGCCACAGGGTTTCTTGGTAAAGGTAAGAAAAACAAAACCTAAACCTAACGTTTTCTTCTTATGCAAGTAACTGATTTTCATTTGGAAAGAAATTGATTGTTGCAGTGTTGATTGAGAAATTGTTGAGGGAAAGTCCTGAGATCGGGAAGATATTCATTKTGATGAAATCCAAGGATCAGGAATCAGCAAAAAAGAGACTATCTATCGTTTTTCGCATTACTTGACCTTTGTTCCACACAGATCATAAGCTCGGATCTGTTCAAGATTCTCAAGCAATTGCATGGGAACTCCTACGAAGCTTTCATGAAGAGCAAGTTGATTCCAGTAATTGGAGACATTGGAGAAGACAATCTCGGGATCGAATCTGAAACTTTAGACAAGATTACTGAGGAGATTGATGTCGTTATCAATGGTGCTGGTCGTACAACATTTGATGACATGTGTTTCCTCTGTTTATTCTTGCTCTGTTTTTTTATGGCTTGCAAACTAATGAATTTGCTTTTAATCGAAACAGATACGACTCTACCCTAAGTGTCAATGCTCTTGGACCTAGTAGGCTCTTGAGATTCGGAAAGCAATGCAAGAAACTGAAACTTTTCCTCCATTTTTCAACTGGTTTGATTTTTGTTTGTTTTGTTTTAGCTTTTATATAGAGAAAGTCTCAATAAAACTGACTTTGTTTTTGTTATACATAGCTTACGTGACTGGTAAGAAAAAAGGGACAGTACTAGAGACTCCTCTCTGCATTGGAGAGAACATAACTTCTGACTTGAACATCGAATCAGAGCTGAAACTAGCTTCAGAAGCTATCAAAGACTTACATGGCAATGAAGAAATCAAGAAACTGAAAGAATTTGGTATCGAAAGGTGAGGATAAATAAGAAATACTTACTTTCTTCACATTCTCATGTACCAAAATCTAAAAACTTTATCTTATGAGAAACCAGAGCTCAACACTATGGCTGGGAAAACACTTACACATTCACAAAAGCTATAGGTGAGTCTATAATTCATAGCAAGCGAGGAGATTTGCCCGTAGTGATCATAAGGCCGAGTATTATCGAAAGCTCTTACAAGGAACCTTTCCCTGGATGGATCCAAGGAATAAGGTTAAAGATATTTCTTTTACAAAGACAAAGTGAGTAGATTAGATTCTGCTTTCAATTTGACATTTTTGTTTGTTTGTTTTGAGACAAAAAACAGGATGAGTGATCCAATAGTCTTAGCCTATGGCAAAGGCCAGATTTCTGAATTTTGGGGAGATTCACAAAGTTTATTGAACATTATACCTGTTGATATGGTTGCGAACGCGGCAATAGCAGCCATGGCAAAGCATGGTTGTGGTATCTCAGAGCTTAAAGTTTACAATGTCACTTCTTCATCTCATGCGAATCCCATGCGAGCTGGCGAATTCATGGACCTCTCTCATAAACATCTGTGTAACTCTCCATTGGTGGAAACAGTGATAGACTTAGAGCGTATGATATTCTACACTTCCTTTGAAGATTTCAGCTCCTCTGTATCCAATAGAATAACAAAACAAGAAAGAGAGATGAACAATGGAGGAGCAGATGAGTCACTTACCACATCGAGCATCAAGGGCAAGAGGAAGCTTAAGTATTTTGTGTCCTTAGCAAGAACATATGAGCCTTAGACATTCTTTCAAGCTAGGTAAATACACATACTTGGCTTTTGTTGTTTATATGATGCAAAAAAGCTATTAGATTACTGACCAAACTAGTCAATACCAGGTTTGACGATACGAATACAAGGAGTCTAATTCAGGAGATGTCAATGGAAGAGAGAAAGATGTTTGAGTTTGATGGTAAATGCATTGAATGGGAGGATTACATTGTCAATGTTCATCTTACAGGTCTCAAAAGAGAACTCTTTCAAGAAAGATCCAGTTAAAGAGAATGATTTATAATATGAATTGAAATTTCTAGTTTATCAATAAAAGATTTATCAACATTTTTACACGAAAATGTGAATCACCTAATATCCCATTAAAACCAAAAAGTGAAGATAATTGGGTTTTACATTTCAAGTTCCTGCAGACTATATTTCCTTGTACAAGTTGGATGCAGCTACTCTAGAAACTGTATTATCAAATTCATCTTCACACCAAACAAGTGTTGATTTAAAATTC